CCGGAGGACAAGTGGAGTGTGGCGGAGTGACTCGCGTTGATGGCGGCGGCACGGAGAGGCGGAGCCACTGCCGGGCCACGTAAGGTGCATCGATCCCCCACCCCTCCAGGTTGGGATGGTGGAACCCTGCCGGGTGGACTTTTGAACCCTGGGACGGCACTGACCCAGGGCTGAGACTCTTGGGGTGTTGGACTTTTGGGACGTTGGGGAGATTTGTGGCTGAGGGGAGGGCCTTTGCTCATTGTTTGGTTGGTAAATCCGAGTTGTGGTGTTTCCCCAATTTAATGCAGATGTCGGTTACCTCATGTTATTAAAGGTTTGCTACTACACTGAGGCTCTGTGCTTGCGAGAGGGGAAGAATTGCCTCTTTTGAGGCACCCAGAGGTGTATGTAAGATTTCCCAGGTCACTGGGTGGGGGCTCAAGCCGGTGTTGTATTACCTCGTTGGGAGGAGACCCCTAGATACTGAACCCGGCCCTTGCTGCTGCTATTTACTTGGCCTGGCAGAAGGGTTACACAACCTATGGAACAACAGAAAGATCATGCCCTCAGGGAGAAGTTCAACCCAAAGAAGAGTGCCACAGATGTGCAGAGTACTACTAGAAGCAGGTTATCATAGTCACTTCAGCCAAGAAAGCTTACACATCTTCAGCTTCTGGTTTTATTTTGCTTCCCAACTCAGATTTTATTCCGGAACAATGTCCTGTGATTCTCTAATGAGAATCAAAAAAGTCAATTGAGTAGACACATGGCTGAATCAGCTGGCTGGACTCTTAGTTCTTCAAGCACTTAACTTTAAAATACCTTGCTTGCCTCTCACTCTAAGGAGTTGGGGACGTTGTCACTTAACTTCTCCCTCTGACCTTTTTGCAGTCTCCCCCAGGGTAAAAAACTGCTGCCTTTAATTTATCCCCAAAATGTAACATCTCTCACTAGTTTAACTGCTTAGGTGCTATTGGTAGTTCTCCATAATAAAACAGACTCATCTCACATATTTTGTTTTTGGACATTCACTGAGGACTCTCATTAACTTTTCCTGGACAGTCGGCGACTGCTGTTCCCATTCTCCAAATTCTTTTTTGCTGGTTGCATTTGCTATATTAGTATAACGTTTGGAACATAATATCTACTAGATCCTCAGCAGGACTGGATAAGTGATCTTAAGCATTCCATTTTAACAGATACTGCAAGATAGCTTTTTTTAAGCTCGGGTATGTAGTGTGTGTATGTAGAATCCAATTCTCTGTTGCCCTGCACTCTGTATAGGGGAACAAAATGTGTGTAAAACACCAAGTCAGAATGGTAGTATCTTACACCCACTCTGCTATAGGTTTGTAAATGATTACACAAAGTGGAGGGCAATACAGAACAAAGCACCTAATTTTTTCCACATTAGAAATCTAAGGCTTTTTTAACATTGCAGGACAATAGGAATGTCTACAGCAAAGTTATTTCGGAATAACGGCTGTTATTCCAGAATAACTATGGAATTGTCTACACAGATGTTCCATTATCTCAAAATAATTTTGAAATAACGGACAGCTTATTTTGAGTTCTGTAAACCTAATTTTATGAAAAACAACAGCTATTCTGAAATAGCTATTTCGAAATAAGGCGTGTGTAGATGCTCCACTTCTGCTATTTCAAAATAGCCTCTCACCAGGCCAGTCTAAGTTATTCCTCCTGGGGTTTTAAATTGAGATAGCACGTCTACATTAGAAAAGCCTGCCTCGGACTGATTTTGAGGCTTCCCTGAAGTGTAGATGTCTATTTCAAAATAAGCTATTTCGGAATAACTATTCCGGAATAGTTTATTCCAAAATACCTCTGTAGCATAGACGTAGCCTAGTAGATTACAGTACAAGACCTGACATCTGAGCAAGGGAAAGGAGAAAGCGGATATTTAGACAAACTGTATTGATATTTAGGTTTAGGAGAATATTCTCTTTCATAAGATTCTAAACACCTCCACCTGAGACTCAGAAAACTTCCATTCCAGTTCACCATTCCTCTAAGGAGTCCTCAAGCAAGAAGGCTTTCCGTAAGTTTGTGTTCTTATGTTTGCATTCTTTGGGCTTACATCAGTGAAGTGTGCCAAACCCCTGGCTCCCCTCCCCAAGAAGTTATTTTCTCCTGTGCTCTGTCCATTTGATGCAACAAAACAAGATGCCATTCACAAGTCAGGGCACATGTGAGATCAAACCTTTAATGAATATTAACAGCATTGCTAACTCACAAAATTATGAATCTCATGACACATAGGTTTTGTCTTGTAGCCCTGGTAATTTCATGAGAAACTTTGTTTTCCTTCAAGCATAGTAAATTTCTAACCCTCCTGATTGCCATGAAAAGCCTAAAATTATTTCACGGCACCCTGAAGGCTCAAAAGTCAGAAGGCCACTATCTCATTCTGTCACCACATACACACAAAACAAAATTATATTTTTATAGCCAGTTTCATTATTTATTTTGGGCCAGACTCATGTTTTTTTTCAGTGCCTTGAACTGACAATTCTGAATCTAATTGTATAATTATAACTATCCTTTGGAATTAAATTGTTCTCTACAATTATGTTAAATGAAATCTCCAGCTAGCTCTTCCTGAAGTACGATATCAAAATGTTTAACAAAAATTAAGTCTATGAGACTGTCTTGTGGGAGCAATCTCTAACCGTAGTAATTTTTAAAAAAGCTTTGCATGATCGTTAGAGATACTTACATACTAAAATATTAAAGTACAGAGAATTGGGAAGGAAAAACTAAAATAGTATAGATGGAGTATTTCATGGAATTAAACCTTAAATCTTGAAATAGTTAGTAAAAGTAGATTTACATTGTTTTCCTTAAATAAGTTAGTTTTCTTTTCTCTGTGGGATAGAGCAAGAAGTCTGAAGTTAGAGAGATCCAGACAAGTGATGCTGAGTGCATAATATAAACCCCAGCTACTCTCCCCCTTTGCCAGAGATCAAAGAGCATAAAAATTAGATGTAGCATAGTATCTTAGTGGGTAAAAACTGCATAAGAATATCTCCTTTGTGCAGCAATTAGCAGATGCATAATTTTGTAGATTCAATCGAAGGAATAGCAGTTTAAAGAAAACAATTCTTGGGCTTTTTTAAAAACTCATTTTGAGTGATCTAAAATGTTTGAAATTCTTGCTGTGAAGTCAGTTTTAGAATCAGTAGCTGTTGCTGAAATAAACATGAATATAAATTAGCTGAAAATAATCGCAGTAAATAGTTTACCACAGAGTTAAATAAATGATACCTTTGGGCTCTGAGATCTCACGACATCTTTATGATGAATGTAGAACAGCTGGAATATCTATCTATGTATCTAAGAAATGTGTATCTGTCTGTGAATCTGTTTGTTCAGGAACTCCTTTTAAACAGTAATAGAGATGTAGCTGTGTTAGTCTAGTCTAGCTGAAACAAAACAAACAGGACTATGTAGCACTTTAAAGACTAACAAGATGGTTTATTAGGTGATGAGCTTTGGTGGGCCAGACCCACTTCCTCATCTGAGGAAGTGGGTCTGGCCCACGAAAGCTCATCATCTAATAAACCATCTTGTTAGTCCTGTATTTTGTTTTAGCTACACCAGACTAACACGGCTACAACCGTAAGAGCTAGAACCATCAAATTTGATATGCAGCTTCCTCTTATCCTAACTTAAAGCAAAGAAAACAGGAAGTGCTGTGAATGGGACTGGTTTCCTGAAGATGGAAAGGGAGGGGGCAGAGAGGAGGAACACAAAAGGGAAGGGCACAGAATAGCAACTGGAGGTAGGGAGCGCAGGGAACAGCTATATGCAGAGTGGCCACTGGGGGGAACTGCCAAGGACTGACCAGCAGGGATGGGGCTCTGCCATCTTGCCTGATCCCAGACTGGGTAATTAATCTCCCTGCCCCAAGCCCTTCCCCTGCCCAGCCCTTGGCCACAGCACCAGAGGGAGACAGAAGGCCCCTGGCGCTGGAGGGGACTGGGGGAAGAAAAGGTCCCACCGGCTCCGGCAGGGGGAGGGAGAAAGGGGAGGGGCGGGTACGGGGGAGAAAAGGCTCCATCAATTGGGACCCACTGCCCTGAGCTCCTCCTCACCCCCAACCATCACTCTTGCACCCTCCCCCCCACACTCCTAGCTTGCTGCCCTGCCTCCCACAACCCCAAGGCCCTGCAGTGCCCTCCAGTGCCAGCCTCCTGCCCTGAAAGACATGGGCAATGCCAGGCAGAGGTAGGTGTGTGTGTGTGTCTCTCTCTCTCTCTCTCTCTCTCTCTCTCATATATGTATCAAAGATAACAGTTGTGCTTCAAGGCAGACCCAAAGAGAAAAGCATGGATCCAAACATGTACAACAGTTTGAGGAAGGACTGCAGTTAATTGTATTTGATATGGCTTTATTGCTCTTTATTGCGCCAATCTCTTTAGAATTCAGATATGAAAAGGAAAGTGAGATCATGAATTTTTTAATAAGTGAATCTGTACCCAATATTTACCAATGAAAATGACTTTGCAGATTTCTTCAGCACTAGATTTGGCAATTGTAGCAAGAGTATTTCTCTGGCAGACAGATATTTACAAATTATTCCAGCGCCAATTGCTACTAGGTAAAGTAGTGATTAATGAGTTTTCAGACCTGACATGAGATATGCTGTTCATCTACTGATGGGAAATGTATTTTGAAACAAACCAACCACAGACTCTGCAAAAAACATTGTTAATACTTTATTAGTGTAATATTTTTTCAGCTTTTCTATTGGACAGAGCATAATGCAAACTCCAAATAAAAAATTAGAGTCCTTTGCCATTCAGTAAAAATGACTGACATTCTGATTCATGTTTGTTCTTTGTTAGACAAAAAGGGGAGAGGATAAGATAATTAGAACAATTAGGCACACAGCTGACACTTACTGTACAATGATATGCACAAGTCATGTATAACAGCTATAGTTATAAGATGTGCTCTTTAGATTTTCCCTTGTACTATACGAGCCATGCTCAGTTGAGCAAAGATCACCAATAACAAGAGAGATAAGGAGTGTCAAACAAGACTTTTAAAACAAGTCCTTAAATAAACTGATGCAAAAACAACAGAACGTAAATTGCTGGGTTAAGAAGACAACTTAACCTAGATCTCAAAACATTAAAAATGCATTTATATTACAATTATTCAAATACACATGCGTTAAATGAAAATATTGCACAAAATTAAAATTTAGACCGTGGAATTTATTTTTTACTTCTTAAAAAATTTGGTACACATTCTGGTAGCATTAAAGTTAACTGTTTTAGCAAACACCAGCAACGCAAGCTTAGGACGAGTCAAGTGAAATGGTCAACTGTTCATTTTCTCTTAAAATGAATTAAGGCTAAAATAAGTGCATTTGTTGGACAATGGCACAATTATTTTCAGCGGCTAGTAGCAGCACCCAAATGCTTGGAGACAGACCTAGCCTATTAAGTGCTGTAATTTAACATTCAATTTTGGGGCATTTACAGGGTAATATATCACACATATTGGCAGGGTTGATTTTAAATGGTCAACACATAAACCATTTAAACAACACAAACATTGATAAAATTATTTATCTTTGATGGTTCCTGCCTACAATATAAAAATAACAACCCTCATTCGGAAATAAAATAGTAGAACAAAGCCTTTTATATGTATATGCAGTAACTGCACTAAGTATAATGACCTTTTTAAACCTGGTACGTAATTTACAAATCATGTCCCAGCAGATTTTTTTTAATATATGTACCAAGTAACTGCAAAATCATCTGCCATATGAGTATGACCATTGTTCTTCCAGAAGTTTAGCACAGATGCCAATAGAAAAGAGGCACCACAGGTTTTTCAGAAACTAGTATATTATTTTTGTGATTTCAAAGCACTGTATGTAATTAAGTGATTTACAAATTTAACTAAAAAATAGAGTTGGGTATAATTTTTACGCCTCTTTTCTATATACTGTTTATTATGTACATCACGTTCCAGCAGCTGATGTATTGTGTGGCCCATCAAACACAAATTTTGCATGATATTTTTCGTTTTAGATGTCAACTATGCTGAGGCATATTGACAGGGCTCAACAAATCCGTGTATCTACTCGTCTGTGGCGAGTAGATTTCAGCCGATCGCCCCGTTCAGCGGCGGCATGCACATGTGCAGTGCGGATCTGGCACATGCACGGTGAGGGGCTGGCAAGTGGATTTCGCTGCAGTTTGTCGAGCCCTGAATATTGACATAGGGATAAGATTTAGACCGGCATGCAAGCAACAGGAATTTCAATCATGGAAATATCAATTACCTTATTCAAGAAGGTAAGGAAAAATGGCTAATTCCAATAGCTCTTAATTTTTTTGTGTCTTTAAAACTTAGTGAAATATACATAGATGGGACAGTGAGTAGGGAACCTTCTACATACACTATCTTTGCCTTCCTGGAAATTATAAAAGAAGGGACTTAATTTACAGTAAGTAGATCTGTAAAGAAGAAAAAGTAAACTCAAGCACATGTATACCATATATCAATGTCAGTCATCCTCAATACAATAGAAATATGATGAAAAAATGATCTGAATGAAATCTAAGAGAAAAAAAGAACATCAATATGAAATTTTATCTGTTTTGATTGCAGACCCGATTTTTGAGGGCATTTTTTATTCCTACCCTCAAGATGATATCATAAAAGTCCTCTTCCCCATCCCTCAAGCAAAGGAGCCATCTTTTGTTCCCATCTAGGCTTGAATTACTATCTGAGGATCTTGGTTCAGTGATAAGTTATATACCCTATTTAAATTATTAGAATTTAGATATTTTTTTTTTACATCTAATGTAAAAAAAAATTTTTTACATTAAAAAATGGAAAAAAGACAATGGAGTGTGCATGGTTCAAATCCTTTGCCATAGATGTTAAAGTTCAAGACAGAAGGGAACGTCTAAAAAATGGAAGTTGCAAACTTTGTGATCTATTAAGACCAAACAAGTGTAATTAATATTTATTTTTGACCAGACATTAATTTTTATGGAAGTAAATGGATAGACTTGGGGCTTTTGTGCAGAATAGGTTTATTTATTAAAATTTTACATTACGCAAAAAATAAAAAAAAATATTTAAAAATATTGTAGTTGTGTTTCCTTTTTTATTTTCATATATACATTACGACACATTCAGGAATTTCCAAATGTTTGCACATGACTTTTTAATAAAGTCTAGAAGATTCTTGTATAAGTGAGGCACCAAGAAATTCTAGCAACTTTTCATAATCATTCTGGGGCTATTCTGAAGCACGTACAATACAGTGGGCTATTAAAAATACTTTGTTTTACTGCAAAAAAAGTCACGAGTAACTTGCTTTTTATGGCAAATTTTTACTCTTAATATAGTGTCTATCCTGTTTGGAGAATGGATCCCCATCCTTCTGTCACTGCTCACTGATTGGAGACATGCTTTTAAAAAGATACCAACTGCACTATTTCAATAAAAACTATATGCCCCATTTCTAATTAAATTGCATGCAAGCTGTATGTCATGTGTCATAAGAACAGAAGTAGGCCCTTAAAGCTACAAATTCATCAGAAGAAAGGGTCTATTTTCTACCACACCTCTTCCTTACACTGGTGAATAACAAAACCAACAAAGATATAATATTAGTTTATTTTTTCAAAATAAATGGAGGTGAAGTTAATTGACGTGTAAAAGCCAAGTTCTCAGCCTCTACTCAGTGAATGTACTTTTAATTTACTCTCCCCCCCCAGAACCAGCTATTCCAAAGGCTTCTATTACTGTTAGTGCAGCCTTCAAACAAACGTCGATCAAGACTCACAATGCCTCCAATAATCAAAATGCAAAACAAACCCCCACCTGATTCTCACACACATTGCACGATCTCCCAGTGCTAAACTAGCCAAATCCCTCATTGGCACTGTAGTTGTGCTTTGCTTACCCCTCAGCAAATACAGTCTGGCACTTTTCACTGCTGGCAATCACTGATTCAGTCAGGAATGGAAGAAACCGACACTTCTTACATAACTGGCCAATATTCTTCTCAATGTTGCATGAAGATGCACCAAATCACTTGAGACACACAAATCCCCTTGTAATAGTGGTTGCAATATTAGTGAGGATGAGAAGATCCACAGGTCTTATGGATGTATTAATAGTCTAATATGTGAGACTAAAAGACTGGTGCAGAAACAAGAGCATGTGAGTTTTAAGCCCCAGAGAATATGCCCATGCCACTAATCCTGGACAAACAAACATCAGCTTAAAAGTTTGGAGTGTCACCTTTTCTGTAATGAAGGTGCTTGAGTAGGTTGTAGTCTCTGTTTGTATCTCTGCATCTGCTCTGACCGTGAATGCAGTTTGCTGAAGAGCTCAAGGAATTTATACTGTGGAAATAAGGTTTCCAGAAAGCCCTCCAAAAAGACATATACCATTCTCTTATTTAGTTGAGTGTGCTGAAACATTTCAAAGACTCGAAGAATGCCTTTCCGTGTTGTCTCAGCACCTATGATGTGCCTCAGTTCATCTACACAAATGACAAGAGTTATAAAGTAGTTTAATACACATTTTAAATATATTTAGGTTAACTAATAAGGTAGAACTCCTTGTAAATCAACTACTTCAATATTCAGTCTCTTAGGCTACGTCTACATTGAAGCTGTTTTCCGGATACTGGAAAAGCTATGCCATGTCCAAGGAACATGTCCACTTTTCTGAAAAATATTTCAGAAAAGCAGACATGTTCTTTTGCCATCCCTGTAAACCTCATTGTACTAGGAAGAAGGGATGTGCCGAAAGAGGAGTTTTTCCGAAATTTGGCCATGTAGACAATTTGCATATCTTTTTCCGACTTTTCTTTGTAGCGTAGACACGGCCTTATAGAAGGATTTCTTGCAGCATGGAGGCAAGAAATAATAGCATTAGAAAAACAGCACCATAAAGAAAAAGGTTTCATTCTATTAGTAGATGTCTGAAAATGATATGCTATTGTATTTACTGGTCATACATATGCAAAAATAATGTCGTTATACATTTTGCTGTCTTTTGGTATCTAGATGCAGTATGCATAAATAAGACTGAAGCCCATGGCTGGAGGTCAGGAGCGCAGCCCCATCGGACAACGCAGCCATCCTGCCTTTTCCTCCAAGCATCCCCCCAGTCCCACTCCTCCCCCAAGCTTGAGCACCATAAACTAACTATTTGTGACACTGCAGAAACTCTGGGATGATTTGCCTTTCCCCCCCCCCACCATGAGTGTTCCAGCCGAGAGCATTCACAGGGTTGCTGGAACAACAGATGTTGCTGGACAATGGAAGTCCGGACTGAAGAGGTTCAACCGGTATTTTATCTCCTTTCACTTTTAAATAAATATTGCGCTCCCCCACTTCAACTTCAGTAACCACACACAATCGAAAAATGTACAATACTAGTAAGAACATTAAAATATTCAAAGCTCACTCACCTGGCATTATCTCTAGTAGTTTAGTCTTCCCTGCCACTCTTGTTCGCATTCTAATAGCTTTGTCTCTGCGTGGAACAGTTTCTGCTAAAATGCCATTGGGCCAAAAGGCATCTCTGTAGCAAGTATAAAAACAAGTTCTTTATTTAAAAAAAAAAAATCAAAATTTTAAACCCTCAGAAATGCCTCAGCATAATGTGAACAAAATGAAAGCTCTGAAAGACTATGCTGATGTATGAAAAGTTTTTTACAGGTTGAACCTCTCTAATCTGGAATCCTCGGGACCTGATCGGTGCTGAACCAGAGAATTTGCCACGCCATAAGAGGTCAATATTTTCTAGCAGCATTACCAACATTTCCACTGTTTATGGGATTCTTCGAAGACATTCAGGGGAAAATCAGAGTTAAACAACAGCACTGGACACAGAGCCAGGACTGGTGGCTGTGAACAAACTTTACGGAACTGCGGGAAACTTATCCACTTGCCATGGGAGTGGCCATCTGGCTAATCATGCTGGATATCATGCTGTACCATGGATGTTGCCGAATCAGAGAGTGCCAGATTAGAGAGGTTCAACCTGTACTTAAATGCTTTTGTTAATTATTTGAGATATTTAAGAACTGGCAGAATAATAAATGTTTCTTGCTTGTTAATTTCTTTGAAAGTAACACTGCCAAACTATGTTCTAACAGTTGTATGTCACTCTCTAGGAACTCCAGTATGGGAATCTGTTGCTTGAGCTTTATGGGAAAATTTACACACTCATTTCCAACTCTTCCTTGTCAGAAACACCCAAATACTACTGAATTTATTAGCTATATGTAACTTGTGTACTAATCACTGAATATCAATAAGTCCCTCTTTTAATAAGAACTTAGGCTCAAATGTGTTGGTAGTAAGACACAAGATGATGTCTTGCTTTGGAATGTTTGCTCTGTACGACATCAGTGCCTCTTTCATTTTTTACTTTTAGAAAGGGTACTGCTGCTGAAGTACCCTCTGTCCGTTGCCAGCACCGGCATCACCTTGGACAGAGGGTGCTTTGCTGCAGCAGCCCCTGTCTGCAGGTAGTCCCAGATCCTTGTGGACAGGGGCAGCTGCTGGAGCAGTTTATGTCCGCAGTCAGCACAGGCACCCTGTATCAGAAGCAGCAGTGCAAGGCAGCAGGTCCACAAGGGGAGCTGGTTTTGAAACTGGCTCCCCTCACAGACCAGCTCCCGCCTGGCACCCTGCACTGCTGCCTCTGATACAAACGCAGAAGCGTGGGATGGAAGGGGACTCCCCGGGAGTGGGGCCAGAGAGCACTAGCTGCTGCCCCCGCCCCGAGGGCTATCGAATAGTCAACTGCTAAGAATTCATGCAGTTAGTCAATTATTCAATTAAGTGATAGCTAACATCCCTAGTATACAACACTACTCTTGCATATAAAACATGGATCATAGTCTGGGGATCTATTCTACCTTTGTAGAAACCATGAAATTCACTCAGTAATTCCAAAGAGAGATGAAACCTCTGCAACATCTTCACATATAATCTCCTCAATAAGGATATTTCTATACAGACTGGAAGAGTGTCCAGAAAACTAATGTCAGAGACCCTTTGTTATAGGCTCTGTTAGTACGATCCTTTGCATCTTCTCTCTTGAAATGAAAATACCTGTCACATATCCATCTTCCTTGCTAAAGAGGCCACCTTTATGAACCACCTTCCTGAAAAACTCCTTCTACATAAATTACAACTAGTTTAGCTTATTCTTGAGGCTTTTACAAGTACAGAATTCTCAAAGTGATGTCATAAATAGAGATTTCTTTTAACTCATATATTCTTTTAAAAACTGATGATTACCCGAGAGGCTAAAAGCTACAAAAGAAAGCTCAATTATGTATGTATGTGTAGATAAATATTAGTAATAATCTGTGTCAAGGTTTAACTACAATAGTTGTTGCTGCTCCCTCTAGAACATATTTATTATATACTGTCATGAACACAAATAAGCCACTGCATCCTAGTTAAGTTTTGCTCTGTTTAAAAGTACACAATAATTATGTAACAGTTTAGAACAGGTAGTGAAGGTAGTGTCCCTTTCCAAAAAGGAAAATTTTATAAGGGAGAGACTAGCCACAGAACATTCTCTGTTCAAGTAATGGATAATTTACATATTTTAAAATCTTTACAGATCAGGTAGTAATTTGTATCTAGTACCGAGGCAGAATTTATGGTTTGATATGGAACAGGGAGTATTTACTGTCTCTGACAGCTTAAACCGATTTCATCGCTGAGATAAGAGGACAAATGTTAGATACCAGTAGGCCTATATGGGAATATGTGCACTACACTGTCTAGCGGTTTTATTAAAACTTATAAAACATACCTAAACCGCTTCACTGCATCTGCTACTTGCTCAGGAGATGTCATCCAGTCAACATGATCAACTATTTTTCTAAAATCAAAGACACAAATCAGTGATCTCTCTCATCTTACTTTTTCAGTGGACATCAAGAAACAGATGGCTTTAAGTAAAGAGTGCTTTAAAGTAACTAAAACGCCAAATAATGTTCAAGAATTAAAAACAAAGTAGTACATCATTTCTCCTTTTCCCCATTCCATGCATAAATTACATCGTGTTACCACACCAGAAAGCCTAATGTTAATTCTTGGTCTCGTTTAAGATTTAAATTCAGCCATTTTCCTGCCCCATTTTGAGGACTTATGAAGTTCAACATATTCACCCAACAGAAGTAGGAAAGAAGGGTAGAGAACAGAAGAAGCCTGCAAACCATATTGTCATTAGTAATTTACATTTTCCCTATCCTACAAACAGAACTTTATAACATCACATCACATAGATTCAGGAAGGAAAGCAATTAAAGAATTTTCAATTTTCAGCCACTGGATATTATATCTTTGTTTAACAGACAGAAGTGACCATTATCAAATTTCTGTTTTCCCATGTAGGCATGTACAGACTGCAATCGAGTCATCTCTTAGCTTTCTCCTTTACAAGATAGATTGAGCTTCTTTAGTCCATATTAAGGCATGTTTTCTAATCCTTTAATAATTCTACTAGCTTTTCTCTGAACTCTCTCTCACATCACAATTCTTCTAGAATTATGGACATATAATGCAACACTCTATTCTAGCACAGACAAATACAAAAGGTAAAATTTCTCACCCTACTTCAATTCATCTGTTTATATATCCAAGGAAAACATTTGGCCACAGAATCATACTGGGAGCTCATGTTGAACTAATTATTCATCATAGCACCAAAATGTTTGAAGTGGCCCCAGGCCAGCCCAGAAGGGGCGGGGCCAGAATGCTTCTGGGCTTTCCCATAATTGGTCTGGGAGTGGGGAGAGCCCCTTTGCCCACCATTCCCATTAGGCACCCATGCCCCTGGCAGGGTGACAAGAGGCTTCACACACTCCCCAGCTCCCAGGCCCTGATTGGCCTGGGGGTGGGGGAAGCGCAGGAAGTCTCCACCCGCCCTTCAAGCAGCGCATGGCACTTTGAAGTGCCGTGCACTCCTCGCAGGGCCAAGACAGGGCCAAGGAAGCTTCACGCAGCTCCCCTGCCCCCAAGCTTTAACTGGCCTGGGGGTGGAGGGAGTGCACGAAGTCTCCTTCCACCCTACCCTCGCTCTGCAAGGAGCATGTGGTTTTTCAAAGTGCCATACACTGCTCGCAAGGCGGGAGGAGACATCAAGTGCTCCGCCGCCTCCAAATCCTGATTAGCCTAGGGGCGGAGGAGCTGTACAAAGATTCCCTCGTCCTGCTCCCACTCTGTGCCAGTGTACAGTACTTTTAAGTGCGTGTGCTCCTTGCAGGGTGAGAGGAGGGCTTGGGGGAGAGGGAGCATGTGACGTCTCCTCCCGCTCTGCGAGCAGCAGATGGTGCTTCAAAGTGCTTTGTGCTGGTCAAAGAGCAGGAGGAAGCTTTGTACGCTCCCCTGTCCCCAGGCCTGGGGGCAGGGAAGCGGCAGGGCCTCTGGGGGCTGAATCAACCTGCTTTGAGGGCTGGATCCGGCCCGCAGAGGCCCTTTTGCCCATCCCTGACCAAAATCATCATCTTCAGAGTCATGTTTCCCAACAGAGAGTCCCCATTATGCAAGCATGGCCTACATTCTTTGTTCCTAGACCAGTGGTTGGCAAACTGCTGCCTGCGAGCCACGAGTGATCTGTGGCCACCTTCCAGGTGGTCTGCCACTTGAGCTCAGCACCCCTCCTTAACCCTTCCTCCCTCCCTCCATCTCCCCAGCACTGGCTTGCCTCGGGTGTAGGGTAGGGTTGCCAGATGTTTGAAACAAAAATACCAAATCCCCTCGAAAAAAAACACGGGGAAAAAAATTCTGTTGAAGGAAAAAAAGGGGGGGGGGGGGAAGACCAAAGTTGTGAGGGAAGGGGAAAAAAAAAAAAGAACTCCAAGACTTATTAAACAAAAACAAACAAAAAAAATAAAATAAAAATAGCATTAACACAGCAAGTCCCCTTTAAGAGTGAGTGCAGGGGTAGGAACAGGGGAGTAGTTGAGCACTAAGCCCCAGGGGAAGCATTGCTTCCCCTTGGTTGGCAGCCATTTTGTGCAGGCAGTTTTGCAAAACCAGGTAAGCATGGGGTCTGGGGCCAGGGGGTGTAGGGAGCCGGGGGAGCTCTGGGTGGGGGAGGAGGGAAGGCCGGGCACTGAGTGTTTGCAGGGTTTCCAGGTGTCCGGCATTTTC